ACTACTAGTGGTTGTAGTGACTCCACGTGGCTGAGAACGAAGCGGAGAAACCGGTGAACCGAGATCTAGTTCACGGAAGTCTGGTTTGTTGATCTCGGAGGTTAGTGATGAATCACGGAGATGATCGGAGAGTTTGTCAGATTCAGAGATGGGTTTAACTGACTTGGGCATTTTGAGTATTCCGGTGAGAGAAAGGAATGAAATTTGTGAGAATCGAAGAAAACCCTAAAATGGAGTCCGGCGAGCAAATGGTCGTTATTTAATGGAGACGACGGAGAAGAATGGAGAAGATGAATGGAGGAGGAGGAGGAGGAGGAGGATTAGATACTCTGTGAAAAGGCATCGAAAGAGAAAGACAGAGAGATTGGGGATCTCGTGAATTAGAAAGGTTCAAGCAAAGAATGAATGTGAGTGCCTAGAGAGAGAAAACTTGTTTTTCTCAGTGAAGAGAAAGAGAGAGAAGAGAGAAGAGAGAAGGTTCACAGAAGAAGAGGAGTGAAGATGGAGAAGCAGAGACCGAATATTTAACATTTTTATAATTATTATAACTAAATAAATAAAGTCATTTTTAGTTTAATTGACAAAGAAAAAGAAAGGTTATAATTAATTATTCTACAATTAAAGAATAATAAATTTATAACAAAGTGAAAGAAAATAAATATAACAGAATTGACTTTAACAAACTTAATTACTATGTTCAAAAAATAAAATAAAAGTCCTGATTAAAAATTTTTATGCTACTTTACTGTTTTTGGTATAAATCTCAAAAAAAAAAGAAAAAGAATAAGAAAATTTCGGAAATGGTAATATATTAAATGTTATGCGAAAAATAACAGTTCTTGTTCAACTGCTGCTTCACGAGACATGTTTTTTATTCTTGCCTTTTTTTTTTTTTTTTCAATTTTCCGCTTTATCGTTGAATCACAAAATAAAATTTAAGAAAATAATTGTTATATATTGTAAATAATTAAACTTAAAAAAAATCTGCTTACTTCGCTTTCGGTACTGTTCGATTTTTCTTTGTACTTTGGAGCTTACAACATCCTAAAAGCCCACTCGCGGTTTATTGGAAGTGACGTCTACGCTCCTATAACATCTAAAGAGAAACTAAAATAACATGTGAAAATAGAAATCATTTATCAGTTTATGTTTTATCATGAAACTTTTCTTTATTTCTTGTTAAGTGAAAATAATGCAAATACATTTTACCAATAAATTGTTTCTTGAAGTTATAAATGCATTTTATGGAGTAGAATGTAAAATCTTATAAACAAATTCATTGTATCAATGCATCTAACTAGTACGTAAAATGACCCGATTAGTTTTAACATTACTTGTACGGGTTTAATAAGTGTCTAACTAGTAAAATAAACAAACTACAAGTACATATAATAATGTTTTCTTTGTATACCGGGTCATGTACGTAACGAGATTAGTTCTAACATTACTTGTACGAGATACATTTACTAACACTAATAAATCTAAGTTTATTAACGTTTCAAAATCAATATTCAATATATCTAACTCGCAAACAAAAAGTCAGCCACTGAGAATCATATAATTAAAATGATTTTAAAGATAAAAGTAATATTAAGAAATGGCTAGAAAAAATGTAAAGAAAGTTATAAGATGATAAAATATATATTTTCTAAAATGTAAAAAAAAATGTAAAAAATAAAAAAGTGACCTCGTAATTGGCACTCATCTCTTATTGGCTTCTTTCGCACGAGATTTCTTTCTTCTTCTGGCTTCATTGTTTTCTTTTCTATTCTATCTTTTACAAACACTTTCGTATACCCAAATTTACGCTTACACATTTACTTACATACGTGTACATTATCCCAAATTTAAACAAGTACACTTTGGATCCCAACATTGCATCTAAATTTTAACTTAAATTTAAAGTTTCAGATTCTACTGTTAATTTTTGTTGCAAGTTAAGCTTATTTTTTCAAAAAGCTTTGACTTTTGACTATCCAAATTCCAAATAAAATAACTATATGAGTTCTCCAACATTTTTTAATACGGTAATATATTACTTCAATCCAAACCAATTTTTTTTTGGAACGGTTACATAAATAAATTCAGATAATACTCGGTTTATACCGGTATATTCTAGCAAATCGATTAAAGAAGGCCGACTAAGAGTTATCCACTTATCCTGCTGTTGCTAAAAACCTCCAGTAGTAGGAATTACATTCATTTTCGATTCGGCAAAAGAAGCCAGTCGACGACAGACATACTGAGACCCGCAAACCGCTCACACGATTCTGCTTTCCTCCTGTCATTCGCGACACTACCCACCAAATCACATGACAACTTCCATTACGGAGCCTAGTCCCAAAAACTAAGAAGCCACCCCCACTAGTTTTCTAACATGCATGATGATAAAAATCGTTATTCTTCATGCAATAATAATCAGAAAATAGTAACACTTGGCGACAAAGATTTATGCATTCTTTTGGCCGTTGCAATTTATTTCTCTTAAAAAGCCTTTCAAAATTTCAACACTCAATACACGTTCCATATTAATATGGGATTCCATTCATAAAATCCGGTCATATTATCGAATTAAAGATTCGTTTATTAAAGTAGATGCGTGTGTGTGTGAATTTGTTATTTAACAAAAAAAGCAAAACGTTTGAGTCGGTTATACGTATGCGAAAGTGTAGATTATAATTGATAATGGAGCGGTTATATAACTCCGGAGTAGTAGTGGGTTTGGTATACCGACACTTGCATTGCACAATAGGAGTATTATTGTGTATTCTTTTTGCTTTTTTTGGTATCCATAAAACATTGTTTTATCAAGCATAGAATATTTTGTAACCAAAAAAATAAATATGATTGTATTATTTCACTTAACTTTGTGTTATCAAGCATAGAATATACCGACATCTTGCGTTATACTTCATATGCTTCGAACCACATGTTCTGATATGCGTATATTTTGTAAATATGCCATTATGAAAAAAAAGAGAGGTGGTGGTTTCTTTTGGAACAAGTTAGGTGGTTAAAGAAAATAGGGATATGAATTTTAAAAAAAAAATCTTCAAGTAAAATAACTAAAATAAGTTGAGTGCTTATAATAGCTAATACTTGATTCAAAAACCTCATACTTTTTCGGCAATTAAGCTGTTGTGTAGTTGTCTTAAAACATCATCCCCTTATTATTAAAAGGGAAGTACAAATTGAAAAATGGTCAAATTTAGCCTCAATTTCAATTTCAATTTTGGATTTTGTTCTTTGTTAATCAAAATCGACAAAGGCATTTTGGTCATAAAGTTTCATTAAACTTTAAGAGATCCGCGTGTTAATACTCGGGTGGGTTAGGAGTAATTAACTCTTAATCACATAGTCAAGTTCTTAATCGGGTTTAGCATCCACATAAGTCAATCTAAGCCGTTCAAATTATTTTGTAAATTTAGTTCATTTTTGGTATCTAAATATGAGCATATTCGATCATAATAACTGCAAATTCAATGTAATTATCTCTCATAATAACTACAAATTCGATCATATATTGCCTAATCCCAAAAAAATCGTAATTACTATCTCTCATAAATATAATCCTAACCATAACCAACTCTACAATATTCATCATTTATCTAAATATAGCCAATCATTCAATTCTATTCCAAATTCGAATATATTTTGTTAATAGTATCTTTGATTTTATGCTTTGTCTCCAAGATATTCTCCTAGATTTTAAAATTATTGGAGCCAAAAACCCTAGCATCCTAGAATGCTATAAATATCAACGTCATTCTCATTTCCAATCCATCACTCAAATTCCTCTAACCTTAGCATCCTTCTTATTTAGATATCACAAATGGCTCAAGCAATTGCTTACCTCGATGACATCAAACCATACAAAACCACTTGGAGAGTTCAGGTCCGTGTCCTTCATACCTGGAAGACATTTACCACAAAGTTTGGTGAGACTTTCGACATGGTTCTGTCTGATGTCAAAGTAAGAATTCTTTGACATGTCTATATTAGTTCAATATATTAAAATAAGTTGTCTAATGATATACTAATATATTTCTATTTCTATGGTAGGGCAAGAAGATCCATGCGTCTGTGAAGAGAGAGCATCTCAACCGTTTTGAGAAGCTCATGGTTCCAGGAGAGTGGAAGGCTATTGAAAACTTTGGATTGACTTATTCAACTGGTCAGTTCAAAGCAACTGATCATCGTTACAAAATGGGCTTCATGGCGCAAACAAGAGTTGTGAGGATGGATCCATTGTCTGATTCTTATTACCTGTCATTGACTCCTTTCAATGATGTTTTAACTGCTGGTCTCAACCAGAACTACTTGATTGGTACATTTTCATATTAGCTATATTTTCATTTTTATCTAATCCTTTATGCAATATATATTGACGTTTTGATATTCTCTTTTGGTTCAAGATGTTGTCGGTCAAATCGTGAATGTTGGTAAAATGGAGACTATCGACGTGCAAAATAAACCTACTAAAAAGATTGATTTTGAACTGAGGGATCATACGTAAGTTTCATTCATTAGTTCTGTCGGCATTAAAATTAAATATGTCTTATTTTTGAATCTAATATTGCTATTACAATATTTAGGGATGAAAGGCTACCCTGTACTCTATGGGGTTCATTTGCAGAACAAGTTTTCTCTGCCTGTGAAGCTTCTGCTGGTGAGATGGTCATATGTTTGGTGAGATATGCTAAGATCAAGACTTACAAAGGTATTTTGTTTTGGTATTAATATCATACTTATAGTTTTTTTAAATCTTTTAAAAATTGAGCTGCTGACACTTTCTTTATGTTTTGCTTTCTAGATGTAAGGAGTATCTCCAATGCTTTCAATACATCTCAGATCTTGATCAATCCAGACATCCCTGAGATTGTTGCCTTCAAAGAAAGTTTACCAAAAGATGGGCTTGCTCTTACTCTTCTTGAGTCTAAACCAAAGCAGGAAATGATCGAGCTGACTACAGGGGATTTTTATCTTCAGTTTCCTAAGAAGACCATCAAAGAAGTCGCTGAGATGTTTGATGTAATAGTTCTTTTTTTCTATTACATTCTAATTTGATTGCATAGTTTATTCTAACCAACTTTTAAATGTTCCTATTTTCAGACTGGGAGGGTTAAGGTGCTCTGTACAATATATGATATTGACAGAGATTGGTCGTGGTATTATATTGCCTGTAGGAAATGCAATAAGAAAGTGTCTAAGGTTGTCACAACTTCTCTCAAGCCACAATTCTGGTGTGACTCTTGCCGATCACCTGTGTGCAATGTGGTTGCAAGGTATGGTTCATAATCTACTGATATATTAATGATTTATTTGTTACTGAAATGTCTAATTGTAACGATGAACTCAACAGGTACAAGCTACATGTTAAAGTAATGGATTCAACTGGTGAGATGAAGCTGATGCTTTTTGATAGTATGGCTTCTGAGATTGTTGGCTGTCCAGCAAACAGTCTCCTTGATAAATGTCTTGCAAGACCGGAGTATGTGTGGGAAATGTGTTGTGGAATTTTAACTGAAGACATCGAAACAAAGAAAAGAAATCAGTACAACAATCCAGGTTTGTTGAGATACAATTTTTTTCCGTTGGTTTGCTTGCTTTCCGTTTCTGTTATAATGAAATAGTGTTTTTCTTTTTTACTCCAGATTTAGTATTAACTGATGCTGAGAAAAGAAATTATGCTCTTCAAGAGATAGAAGATTTGCTGTTGTGTAATGGGAGTACTCTGACAGACTTCAAAGACATGCCTAAACCTACTCAAGAAGGTATAGATCATTCAAACCGTTTCATTACAGAAGAGAAAAATTATAACCGTGATAAGTTGCGAGAAGACCATGATGAGTGGGTTAATAAGATGACTTCTGAGCAAAAAGGCATTTATGATGAGATCATTGGTGCTGTTTTAGAAAACAGTGGAGGTGTCTTCTTTGTTTATGGATTTGGGGGAACCGGTAAAACTTTTATGTGGAAAACTCTATCTGCCGCAGTTCGAATGAGGGGTTTGATTTCTGTCAATGTTGCGTCTAGCGGGATTGCTTCTTTGTTGTTAGAAGGTGGTAGAACTGCACATTCTAGGTTTGGCATCCCTATTCATCCTGATGATTTCACAACATGTCATATCGTGCCTAACTCAGACCTTGCTAATATGCTTAAGGAAGCATCTCTTATCATATGGGATGAAGCTCCTATGATGAGTCGTTATTGTTTTGAGTCATTGGATAGAAGTCTAAATGATGTTATTGGAAATGTCGATGGAAAGCCATTTGGTGGTAAAGTTGTTGTTTTCGGAGGTGATTTCAGACAAGTACTCCCTGTAATACATGGTGCTGGTAGGGCAGAGATTGTTTTAGCTGCATTAAATTCATCTTATCTCTGGGAACACTGCAAGGTCCTCACTTTGACAAAGAACATGCGTCTTATGGCTAATGATTTGGATAAAGATGAGGCAGAGAAAATTAAAGAGTTTTCTGATTGGCTCTTGGCCGTTGGTGATGGTAGAGTTTCAGAGCCTAATGATGGTGAAGTTCTCATAGATATTCCAGAAGATTTACTGATTAAAGATGTAAATGATCCTATTGAAGCTATTATCAAAGCAGTTTACGGAGAATTGGATTTGTTGCAGCCTAATAATGATCCTAAATTCTTTCAAGAGAGAGCTATATTGTGTCCAAGAAATAGTGATGTCAACACCATCAACGACATCATGCTTGAGAAACTTAATGGTAAGAATTACGTTTTAATACTATAATCTTTAACTGTATATGTATAAGAAACTTATCTAACAAATTTTCCCTAAACAGGTGAAGCAATGACTTATTTAAGTGCAGACGATATTGATCCTCAGGATGGTGCTTCATTGAACAATCCTGTCTTCACACCTGATTTCCTCAATAGTATCAAGCTTTCTGGTTTGCCAAATCACAGTCTCAGTCTCAAGATTGGTGCACCGGTTATGTTACTGAGGAATATTGATCCAAAAAATGGTCTATGTAATGGTACTAGATTGCAGATAACGCAGATGGGTAATCATATACTTGAAGCCAAAGTGATTACTGGAGATAGAATCGGAGACAAAGTGATAATCCCTAAATCTCAGATATCACCTTCAGATACCAAATTGCCTTTTCGCATGAGGAGAAGACAGTTTCCAATATCTGTGGCTTTTGCAATGACAATAAACAAAAGCCAGGGACAATCACTTAAAGAGGTAGGGATTTATCTTCCTAGACCAGTATTTTCTCATGGCCAGCTGTATGTTGCCTTATCAAGAGTCACTTCCAAAAAAGGTTTGAAAGTTCTTATTGTGGATAAAGAAGGAAAAACTCAGAGTCAAACAATGAATGTCGTCTTCAAAGAGATCTTTCAGAACCTAAGGAATTAGGATAGTTTTAGTTTTTTTGCTTCTGTTATTTAACTTTGTAGATGTTTTGTATTGTTTTTTAGAACAGCAAGTTCCTTTCCATAGTCATTTTAATCCAAACATAATCAGACTCTCTGCAACTACAGTAGTGTAAGTTTAAGAGTTCATTTCTAGACAACAAAATCAAGAAACCTTAGTTCAATTATAACTCCGATTGAGACAAACAACAACTTCAATTTGTGTCTACAACTGAAAAAACAGATCCAAAACTAACCTTATAGAAATGACAATTGCTTTAAGTGTTGTCGATTTGCAAAATTTGATCTGCAAATGGTTTCATTCATCCTCTGTTCTTCACTGATCCCCTCTCCCAGATTTCTAACAGAAACAAATTCATCATCTCAAGTGCTTTATCCGAATCCTATATGAAAAAGGTAATTGATCACAGAATCTAAATTATCTTGAAACAATTCAATTGAATTAGAATGAAGCTTACATCATAAGAAGAATTGGCGCAGAGATGTGAGCTTATGATCTGATTATCAGCTTCTTCGGTATCATCGGTAAAGCTTAAGCGTGTCAATGGGTGTTAACTCTCGGTGGAGAACGAGAATCATCGTTCTCATATGTTTTTTTTTTTTTTTTTTTTGTTTTTTTTTAATTTATTTAAATACACAACTTATGTGTCTTTAATTTTTAAAAAAACATAATTTTAATTTTATTTGTTTACTTTATCTTCAATTTTTTAAAAATTTTTAATAAATGTTAGAATCTTTGTTATGCTAAAAACAAATTCTCTTCAAAACTATATAGTAAAAGAACACTTATAATCACAAAAACAATTACACCACTTTTACTATTTCACATTTTAATATCTACTTTTACTTATATTAACATTACAAACCCATTTTATAATTAATACACCTATTTAAATATATTAAATCACATTCTTCTAAGTATTACATAACAACCAACCAATTAAAATACCACTTATTAGTTAAAAATGATTTAATTTAAAAACCAAGTTTATACCAGTTGAACATAAAACATAATCAACTACTTAATAAGAAAACCGCACAAAATCTACGCCCGCGGGATACCGCGGGTTAAATCCTAGTTACCCATTAATCTCTCGTCAAATATGAATTGATTGATGTGGATTATTGAGTATAACGACTTTATAGGGATGGGAAAAGGCATATTCATATGCTTTTATGGATTGTATTCAGAGTAAGTGTTCTATGAATCTTGAAATCCAACTTAGAAAATTTCCTTTAAATGGATGTGTTCTCTAAATCTTAAATTGTCTATTGTCTATAGCTATTATGGTAATGAATTGTGAAAAAAAAAAAAAACGAAAATGGTGGTATGATGTGGTTATTTATTTTCACAATTCACAACAAAATAAACTTTTTTTTTTAAATATTTTTTTCATGTTGTTATATGCTCTCTCTGTTTCAAAATATATAATGTTTTGGCTAAAAGTACATACTTTAAGAAATTAATTTTTGTTTTTAAAAACTATCATTTAATATTTAATTTAATAAAATTCAACCAATGATATAAAAGACTAGAGAATATAAATAGTGATAAATTATCAAATGCATTTAAAAGTCATTTAAAAATTGCATAGAAAATTGTAAACATCTTATATTTTGAAACAAACTAAAAACTCTAAAACATCCTAAAAATGAAGCAAATGAAGTACCATTTATTATGCTTGTTTAATAGTATATTTTGCATTCACTACATATATGTTTTCGTTTGATTCACTTGATTTGCAGTTTTGAAACCAATATGAGTTGGTTATTAAGAATAAAGAGTTTATATTATAAACATCTTGTTGGCTTTTATAAAACTTGAATGTCAAATTTCATCGGAAATGATACTCATTTAAATAAAAAATAGTTTGACCGACCGTTTGGTAGTTTGATAGAATACTTCCCTCAAAATATATGTTTTTTTTTTTTTTGAAGAAGATATAATTTTCATGTTAAGAATTTAAAGTCGACAGTATTTTTTATTCTACCTCAAATAGAAAACTCGAATGTGAGGCTAGAAAACTAGGGAAATAAAATAAACTGAGTAAATGTTTTCAGGCCAATGAAAAAAATATAGTAAAACTAATGCTAAAAGCAAAGTTAGATTTGGTCAAAGATGACGCTTGTCCTTGGAAAGTGACGTCAGTGACTCAGAGTAACCATCATCACTGGTTTCTCTGTTACTAGATGTGATTACGCTGCAACACTGGCACGGCATTGTCCCAGAGTCCAATTAAAGCACGATGCATGAAAAAATTAGGGTTTACATTTTTGATTAATCATTTATTTAGACAAACACAAATTGTCTTATTTCTTAAACTATCCAAATCATCCGTAAATACCCGAAATATCCAGAGAAATAGAGATATAACTTATATTTTTTCTAGATATAAATTTATATTTCAAAAATGTTCGGATACCTATTTCGTTCTTGATTTGGTTCGGGTTTGGTAATGAATTTTTGGATATAGGAGTTTAGGTTCCATTTGCATATTTATATTGGTTTAGATTCAGGCCTTGAATGGTTGGTAGGTATGGTGCGGACCGAACAATGCATACAAATATTTTAGTATGCAAAATGTGGAACTGTAGTATGGAGCAAACAATTTTATGTTGGTATAGAGCTTTTGGGAAGTGAAATGAAAAAATGCGGACCAATGAATTTATGATGGTATGGAGAAGTATGCTGAAGTGCATACTAGTATGAAAATTTTTAGTATGCAACAGTGCATACTAGTCTGTAATAGTGAATGGTGAATTAAGTGTGGACTGATCCGATTTTAGTCCAATCTACAGTATACTATACAACCATTCAAAGCCTCAGTTTGATAAATTGAAAAATAGAAAACCAGATAAATTTGCGTATATAGATAAAAAAAAGCTAGAAAACGAAAACCAAATCAGGCAGTCCTACCTTATAGTACGTGGATATGTATCATTTACTGATTTACACATATTGGCACAATAATGTATGCGAACAGAAAATGTTAAAAACAAAAAAGGAAAATGCAAGTTCCAAAGGAGTGAAACTGAGACATCTTCCAAAAGAGGAATCTAGAGATAAGCAGAAACGAAGAAATTCAGAAATCCCAAATGGTTTCAGTCACTCTTATTAGAATGTTTCTTATCTTTTTTTTTTTCCCTTCAAATCTTGATCTGTACGGACACTTTTCTTTCTTTCTTTCTTTCTTTCTTACAGCATTATATTTTCAAGATAATAAAGAATTTTAAAATTAGGAAAAAGTGAATATGTTCAGAATTTAAGATTTAGGAGACTAATCATAATGAATGCTCTTTAGATTCAGCACATGAGAGTACAACAGAGGTCGAGCCACCCCACGTGGAACATAATGACAAAATCCTTCCTATTTCATTTTGTTTTTCACTTTATAACTTATTACATTACATAGAAAATGTATACTATAGTTTTTTCTTACATTATTTCAGAACCCAAGTACATTATAGTATTAAATTTACTTAGGATTCTGAATGTCTGATATCACGTAAATATGCAATTTCAAAACATTTTGTCATTTCTTTGTTTTTGCTGTTGCCGCCATCAAAGAAAAGCAGCCATCATGATTGGGCCTCACATGCCCATTTTGCAACCCATCTCCAACTATCTACTGTTCACGATTTAAAAGAAAAGAAATGTAAATACTATACAAGTAAAAATCATGACATTAATAACAAAATCGACTAAACATTCGTTAATACTCAACACCGTTTGATTGTAATTTTGATCATCATCGTTATAAACCATACTGCAAGGTATAGAGTTTATGGTGGCTCTAACTATAGACTCTTAACTTTCTTCCTCAATGAAAAAATAATAATCAGAATTTCACTGAAGATGATATAGAAAATTACATTTGCACCGCAGACTCTTTTGACAAGTTAATTTTTATATCCATATATGTCATCCGAAATTAACTATGGTCTATGTTTTGATTTTCTTTTCTGTTAGGTGATAGCCGAATTCAAGCGAACAAACTGAAACTACAAAATACTGCATCACAAAATAAGCTCGAGGTCAAGAAACTTGGTTCCAAGATGTCAGTCAGCGCAAGTAAAGAAGTATCAGGCAACTGAGGGAGAGAATGCCGAAGATGTGAAGAAAGACATTGAGCAGCTGGTAAAACTTGTTCAGGCTCGAGCTGCAAAACGAATTCATCTGCAAGTGATAGAGCTTCGACCAGCGAGAAGAGGTTTATAAGAACATTCAATAAGAGAAATAATATCTATCATTCATCATCTGATGGCAAAGTCGGGCTTTTCGAGCAGCTTTCTTGCTTGTGAAGTTCCAACATCCTTTTCTCTGGGTTACAAAGACCTGCACCAGTTACAACTTATGATCAAATGGTTGTGTAGTTTGTTATGCTATTGACTTGAAAGACAGAAAAATCGCTTCAAGTGTTAATCATATTACTACTATTTGAAACTGTAACTCTGTAAGAAATAAAAAGACAGAACCTGAGCATTTAGGGATGTCCCAAACAGCAACAGAGGAAGGCGAGCATTCTGGTTCGCAAAGGATGTGATGGTTCTCGTGGTTGACATTCATTGCCAGCATCCACGCACCTATTGTTACGTCCTCGTTGTTAAACATCCTGAAACTGCAGTTGCAGACAAAGTTTTATTTCTTCACTAAGCAAAACAGACACTATGATCTTTTGTCAAGTTATACAACATAACATGCCTATTATTCTTGAGGGCAACCAAACTTGCTACCACATCAGCAGAGAGAGCATAAATCGGACCATAAGCATGAAGAAAGTACTCTTTTCCCAGCAGATGAGACAATGGTTCATACCTGCAAAATTCCAGTTTTAATCCCACCAATTTTCAAGCATACATAAGTTCTTCATGGTAAGATCTGCGTTTCACTTTTTCATACTTACCATTTAAGCTTAGGATCTGTGAAAACCGGACCCTTTTTCAAGCATCCTAGGTACGTTTGAGAGTGACTCCGCTCTTTTGCCAATAGTAGAGAGAGTCGATCTGTGGAAAAACAAGAAATAAAACAACAGAAGTACATTTAAGGGTCCATATTCTTTTTCCCCCTGAAGACAGAGATTAAAAATTATACAGTAAGAGATAATCACCTGGTCTCAAGTATATATCATCATCAGCTTTGACATAGAATTCAGAATCATAAAGCGCATATGCAGCTTTGAAGAAAGCCAAACTATACAACAAAAAAGATAAAGACTACCACGGATTAGAGACTTGTAATTCATATTGTGTTGTTAGATAAGATCTGATAATAAATATAACCAAAATCACTCTCACTGACGTTTTGTAAGGGAGCTTACTATACTCCTCTTCGATATCTAGCTGAACAAAGTCATCATACTCTGCGATTTCCCTTCTAAGCTCAGCCATTTTCGCCTCGTTTTTGGTTTTCCCTATCATAAACCTGATGGCTAATCCCGTAGATTCTTCCAAACTGCAAAGAGCAGTGAGCAGTGTTACTCAATGAAAAAGCAAACACAAGCAGATCCATCTAAATCGTGAAAGCATCCAAGAATCAATGTACTAAAGCAAAACAAGAATCATAAAGTTGATCATACTCGAATTCTTGAATCTGATTAGATTCATTCGATCTAGGAATCAAGATCAATACAAATACCAAAGTTCCTCATTGCCTTCACTTCAATCTATCAACTAAGATCCACATAAACTTAAAAATCTCAGATTTGCTAACAAATTCTTAGTGATGCAATGGCAAGAGAATCTAACTGAATCAATTACCGTCGAAGTCCTTCTGGATCTGACGGCATCCATGTCTTCCTAAGTGATCGTCTCCGGCCAGCAGATCCAAATCCGGTTTGAATACCAACGAATCCCATAACCTTATGCCTCTTCCTCTCGCCACCAACAACGCCATTACTATTTCCGGCGACGTCCCAAACGACTCGTACCGTCTTCGGAGGAGTGTTCGTCAAGCAATTACGACCGGTTAATCGGAGACCCGGTAAAAGAATCACGGCGAGTCCAAATGTAAAACCGGCGATTCCGATAGCTAAGGAAGTTAATACGACAAGTGCCGTTGATCGGCGCGTGGCGAGTGATGACCGCGCGTGGAATAACTTACGAGGAGAATGCATTGTGTGGTTGCAAGCAAGCTTGACCTTCGTTAATGGCGTCACGGGTTTGTTTTTTTTTCCCTCCGATCCGGTGGATCCAATTTTTCGGATCCGGTCACGTATTTATACTAACTTGGGTTAATTATGATATTTACGTGTATTTTTGTTGGAGGCAGGATAGAGAATTAGACATTGATTTTTTTTGAACTTTTAGTTGTAAAGACATTGATTTTTTTTTTGTTATGTTACGGAAAAAGCATTTATAGCATTAACGCCAATTTGGCAACGTTAATTTGACTAAAGGGGGTGTTATTAGTTTGTTAATTTGTAAATTCATATAGAATTTGAAAATTTCTATTAATTATGAAATCAAGATATATGGATTTTGAAATAACATGTGTTTACCAATGGATTTGAATCCTTCTATTTTTCTCTTTCAATTTCATTCAATTCCATTTAAAACATAATTTGGATTCTCAAATCCAAAAACAAATGACTAAACGAATAACATAAGATTTTAACTAGTATTTTTAAATCATAGAACCAATAACACATGAATTTAATTAGGATTTTAAAATCAATGATTGAATAACAAATGATTTTTGTTTGGATTTCTAATTCCATATAAATCTATGAACCAATAACCCCTCCTTAGGATTTCTAATTCCATATAAATCTAAATGAATTCCCATCAATGCTATATAAAGTTATTTAGATTCAAACGTAGATTAGTTAATTAAATTAAACAGTAGGTGTTGTCTATCAGCTAGCGCATTAATAAAATTTAAAATATCCTAATTTGGTAACATTATTAAAATTCTGTGTTTGACAATTGGTTTTAAGAAAATTATACTCCTTCCGTTTCATAAAGAGTGTCGTTTTAAGGTTTTAATCTTGTTTCACAAAGAGTGTCGTTTTGTGTTTTCAATGCAGTTTTAAAGACTAATCCTCTTTTTTTATCCTCACTATTTTAGCATATTAATTAGAGAGACGGTATTATTTTATATTAATAAGGGATAAAAATAAAATTTGTTTATTTTTCTTAATTTGTGTGAAAAATGTTAGAATGATACTCTTTGTGAAACAGAGAGTGAATAATAAGTATATGTAATTAAATTATTTGTCCTAAAGGATTGTAGAACTAAAAAAATAAAAAATAAAATCTGTGAGAATAATTGTGGACTTACCACATAAGCACAAAAAGTTCGCTTTTACTATCTAGAAGATTTTTGTTTAGATTAATTTTATTTTTTAAAAACAAACCAATTTTAATAAAGTTATAAAAAGTGATAATTGATAATTGTGTTAAATAAGAGACAATTAAACTTCTATTTCTAAAATTAAATTTTTTCATTAGTAAAATAGGATCATTTGGAAATATAATAAATAAAACTATAATAAAATAGTATCATTTGGAAATATAATAAATAAAATTATAATAAAATAGGATCATAAGATTACATGTGCTCTCGACAAAAAAAAAAAGATTACTGGTGCATGATTCTCACCTAGCATACTAACTTTTTAATGAACATATATAATTTAAAAATACAATAATAAAACTATTTATAAAATTTTATAAGATTTAGAAACTAGTTCTAAAATTAAACATTTCATTAATAAAGTAGGATTATTTAGAAATATAATAAATAAAATGATAATAAAGTAGGATCATTTGGAACTATAATAAATAAAACTATTTATAAAAGTAAACATTTCATTAATAAAATTAAATAACATAAGATTTACCAGTGCATGATTCTTACCTAGTATATATATATATATATATATATATATATATATATATATATATATATATATATATATATATGCATACAAAGATTTTAGGGAACATAGATATAATTATTTATACAAGAGAAAATGAGTATTAAAAAATGTGTTGTATTGATGGTGGTGGTGTTGGTAGTTTTGGTGGCTATGGTAGAAGAAGTAGAAGGGCGTTCAACCCCATATGGTAGATGCATGGACCTTTGCATGATCAAGTGCAACCCTTTTTTTACACATCCGGAAAAATACTGTAGAGATAAATGTAATCGCAAATGTCACAGACTTTATCCATCTCAATCATCCCAGTAATAATCTCTTCACTTATTTAATTGAGTTTGATTTTTTTTTTTTTTGTGTGTTATGTGTATAAAGAAATTGACATGATTTATATGAAAAAATTGCAGGATGGAATCAATAGGAATGAGAAACATAAATGGGTAGATAAGTTGACAAAATAGTCGATATTTTTGTAAGCTTGTTGAAGTTTTCATATCAATAAAAAATAATTTTCAATATTTAAATTCTTTTTTTGCAACTATATATGTGGCGTCTCAAAAATACAGTAAAACCATAACATAACTCTCATGTATTTTAGAAAAGATTGCAGAATGAAATAGTTTTTTTTTAGTTACATTTTAATCTAACAAATTGCAAAATAAGAGATTCGAACCCTATTTTAGTTTTAAAACGAATGGCATAATGATGTAATTTAATTACGTATTTTAGTGTTAAAACTTATAGGTACTTCCCGATTAATAGTACTACTTGATAACAACCCGCACGATGTGCGGGATGAAGTGATTCAAGTAAAATTATTATGATTAAAATTACTATCAGGGATCCAAGATCCGTTTGTGTAAAACGAAACATGTTACAATTTTTTTTTTTTAATTCAAATTTGGGACTATTTCATATAAGAATATGTTTTACCCGTGAAATATTTGAACCTTGAATAAAGCTTCAACGTGATAAAAAAGTATTGACGAAATGTTACCATTTATGGCAATATGTCTTTCCGTATGTTTTAAAGATTTCGAGATTTTGTAGTATAAAAAGAATTTTTTTTTTTATAATAAGTATAAAAAATCCAAAATTTAGCAAAGATGAGATTTGATAGTTTCCAAGCTAAGATTTTGTAGTGTTCCAAATCTAAGATTCTTAGATTATGAATGGATTATTTACGAAATGGTTATAATGTGGCCATATTTTGGTTTATATACAAATGTGGTTATAATGTTTTTCTTCGAAAAGTTAGAACTCCTCCAAAAAATAGGATTTTAAGTATTTGTATTATGAAATGTTTTGTTGTAATATGATACCAAAAAATTCAGATATTTTGTTGTATTATGAAATGTTAAAGTTTAAAAGTAAGATTGCATAACGGTCTTGCTGCTTTCTATCACAAACAATAAATGCGACCATTATCTGAAAAGCGTAAAAAATCAAAATTATCCCATAATACTGTTTAGGAAACTCATAAACTACTGTTTATTGTTGTCATCAAGTATTTAGCATATCTGTTTATACGAACAAGAAAACAAAAATCAAAAAGAGAATCAAGAGCCAACAAAAAAAACATATTCTGTTATCTTAAATCATCAAAAAAAAATCAGAGATTGAAATTGTTTATCAGCACACAACAACATCTCATCATCAATAACATCATTATGCTATACATGAGAAGAATCATATAATAATCTCTCTATGCAAAACATCAAAACGACAACAAGTGTATCAACAAAACTGTGAACCGGAACGACGTTTTCGCCTTGACCAAACTACTCCGTCTTAATCAATGACGTGTTAAGATTAATGGCTCATTGTCACTTAGTCACCAATCACATTTAGACACGTCAGGATATAGCTCGTTTCACCGGTGAGCTTCTCTCTCATCAAAGTGAAAGAAAAAAAAAAAAAAACGTCAATGGCGTCGTCGTCGTCGTTGTGTCATTGCTATTTTAACCCAATCACTGTCACTCCCTTCCCTAACACTAAACGCAATCACTCTTCTCGACGAATCTCTCTTCGTGTAAATCGACGATCCTTCTCTATCTCTGCAACTATGTCTTCATCTACTAAGAAGGTAATAGTTCTCATCTATTTCGTCCTATGAACCCTATCGATCCTGTAATTACTCTTGATAAATCCGAGGTTTCTTTAGGTTTTGATTCCCGTTGCTCATGGTACGGAGCCGTTTGAAGCGGTGGTGATGATCGATGTGCTACGGCGAGGCGGAGCGGATGTAACGGTGGCGTCCGTTGAGAATCAGGTCGGCGTTGATGCTTGCCATGGAATCAAAATGGTCGCTGATACTCTTCTCTCTGAGATCACCGACTCCGTTTTCGACCTTATTATGCTCCCTGTACGTCTCTCTCCGCCAATCTGAATCCATTTGGTATCGAAATAGTTTCTCGATTTCGAAAGCTCTTGTGTATAAGCATATGATTAGATGTATTGATTTCATATTTTGACTGTGATATAGTGCAGAATTTGATATATGATACTCTTTTTTTTTTTCTGGTGATGTGATTGGTTAAGGGAGGACTTCCTGGTGGTGAGACTCTTAAGAATTGTAAACCTTTAGAGAAGATGGTGAAGAAGCAAGACACTGATGGACGACTTAACGCTGCTATCTGTTGTGCGCCTGCGTTGGCGCTTGGTACTTGGGGTCTACTAGAGGGTAAAAAAGTGTGTGTGTAGTGATGAAATTCAAGAAGTTTTTCTATCTTTTGAGTTTGTATTTTGGTGTATAAATCACAGATGTTACTTGCAGGCTACATGTTACCCGGTTTTTATGGAGAAACTAGCAGCTTGTGCAACAGCTGTTGAGTCAAGGGTGGAAATTGATGGGAAGATAGTGACCAGTAGAGGGCCTGGAACTACCATGGAATTCTCTGTCACGCTTGTGGAGCAACTTCTTGGGAAAGAGAAAGCTGCTGAAGTGTCTGGCCCCTTGGTATGTCTTATCCCTGACTCTTCTATCAACTTTAAAGAAGGATAGATTTAGTAGCTGATTCGAGGGGAGCATTTATTTAAGTTAAAGCTCTTTAACAAGACACCCTAGTATTGTTAGAGCCGTATCTGTTCATGTAAAAAGAATACAAATAACACTTTTTCGACCTCACTAGTACTGTGATTTCCTTGAAGCCTAGGCCTATGGCTGAAATTTTCAGCATTATTTCCCCTGTCCAATGATCATCAACCGTTCTTGAGAGATTACAGACGATTGACAGCTATATAGGACACAGAAAAATTTAGATTTCCATGGTAACCTCTTAGTATCTCTTCTTCCCCTTTGCATATAAGGTGATGCGTCCCAACCCTGGTGATGAGTATACTCTTACTGAGCTTAACCAAGTCAACTGGTCATTCGACGGTACCCCACAGGTAACTTTCAATTGCCTGTCTACTTGGGTTTATATCCTTAACATTTGCAGATGATTTATATTTGATGGTTAATTAGATTTGTAATGTGAGAGATAATTTGGCTGCAAAAGCTGCATCAGGTGGTTATATGATGAATATCAAAATGATAAAAAAAAAGTTGACTGGCAAAACTGTTCCCAACTTCACACTTGCGTTTATGAGCTCATGCGTCTTTCTTAATCAATCTTCCGTACACTGAGAGATCATGGTTTTTCCTTTTTCAGATTCTTGTACCCATTGCAAATGGCTCAGAGGAAATGGAAGCTGTTGCTATCATTGATGTCCTGAGGCGGGCAAAAGCAAATGTTGTCGTTGCTGCGCTTGGTGACAGTTTGGAAGTGGTAGCATCTCGGAAAGTCAAGCTGGTGGCAGATGTGCGCCTCGATGAGGCTGAAAAGAATTCGTACGATCTGATTGTGTTGCCTGTGAGTGCTAACTTCTTCAAATGACGAAAGTTTATAGTGTCAAGCAAGTTGAAGCCAACATGATGAACGTCTCTTTTAATTCACAGGGTGGTCTCGGTGGTGCTGAAGCATTTGCAAGTTCGGAGAAGCTAGTGAATATGTTAAAGAAGCAGGCGGAATCAAACAAACCATATGGAGCAATTTGTGCCTCTCCTGCTCTGGTGTTTGAGCCACATGGTTTACTCAAGGTACAAAAAAAATGAGAGAGTAATCACAATAGCATACACATTGTTAGCGTAGATGCGTAGGATCATTACTGTATATCCAATGACATGGAGTATTCTGTTGCCAAACCGTTATTTTCCGCTCTTTAAACTAAGGGAAGGGTCACAACCTTTTTTATGGATGTTTGTACAGGGTAAGAAGGCAACAGCGTTCCCAGCAATGTGCAGCAAACTGACGGACCAGAGTCACATCGAGCATCGAGTCTTGGTGGACGGCAATCTCATAACAAGCAGGGGTCCAGGAACCTCATTGGAGTTTGCGCTCGCAATTGTGGAAAAGTTTTACGGGCGTGAGAAAGGACTTCAGCTCGCAAAGGCAACACTTGTGTAAACTCATGAGTATCTTAGGTAAGAGTGACTTTAATAAGAAAAAGGGTTTAGTATCATCAAATTGTCAATGAGTGAACCTTTGTTGTGGTGAGCTTTGTGCTGAGTGTGATGCTTAATATAATGTCTTATAAATAAACGAGGTTACTCTGTTTTTATCAGAAAGTGTTTTTGTTCCTTTACATTGCGAATTTTAGAATATAAGAAAGTGCTGAACAAAAAGAAAGAATATAAGAAAGTAAATTTTCTTTTAAAAATACAAAACAAATTGAATTATATCTGCAGATCATTGTTGTTAAGCTAGCTTCTTGTTCTGTAACATCTGTACCATAAGATGAAGAATCCAAGGACTCTGTACCCGACGATGAAACTTGCCATGATACCAAGATTGCTCCATTTATGAGACTCCTTAAGGTCTTGTTGCTTTAAGAACACGTCTCCTCGATACTCGTTGATCATAAGGCATTCGAATGGATACTTGAAGAGGCTGAGATAATGCATGAACTCCCAGTAAACGGGGATCCTCTCCTTTGCGATGAAATATCCAGAGAAGAGGAAAAAGGATCCCATAAGACCTGAGATCACTGATGTCCCCATTATGAAGTTTGGAACAAGAGCACTGAAACATGCAACAAAGGAGTTTGACATCAGAAGAACAATCCATATCACCAATGAGAAGTAGAGGAAGCCGTCTAGCTCTCTTCTGAGACCGACCAGCCAATAAACCGGCGTAGCAAAGAGCATGCTTATGATCAATAGGAAGGGAATGAAGATGAGGGTATCTGCTAAAACGTAAGACAAAACTCTGTAAGCCCTTCTCGATGTCTCTCTCATTAGGATTCTCCGGTCTTGCAAGAATATTGGAAGTCCCTCTGTTGTGGAAGATAGTAGGAAAGTGAGGGTAAAGGCGAAGAACCCAGTTCGCAAGACTTTCGCTTCTTTCTTTTGATTTCCTACGTTCAAGTAAATTGACCCGAGTATAAGACCGGCAATGGAAGCTTGTAAAGCTCTGGTTGCGAACAATTGCTTGGTTCTGAAGATGTTCTTACAAGATCTTTGCCCAAGTATCTGCACTTCCTCTAACACTGAGTTGCTGTGAGAATCAGATTGATGAAGCTCTCCTCCTGCATTAATATAGCAACTCTTCCATGTTTTGCTATGACCATAACATGAGATTTCTCTGCAACTCTGGGTTCTTATCGGTTCAAGACTCCCTGCAATATCAATTGCATACTCCAAGACATTTACCCGCCGAGGAATCTGGTGACCGGAGAACTTAATCTTCTGATGAAGGCTATTAACCGATCCGTTTTGAACGACTAGCCCATTAGAGAGCAACACTATCCGGTCTATCAGCTCGAGTATGCGAAAACCAGGCTGGTGAATCGTCAGAACAATGGTTTTACCTTGTTTAACCGTCATATCTTTGAGAAGCATCACAACTTGAAGAGCGGATGCTGAATCCAAACCAGAGGTTGGCTCATCGATCAATATAACATTTGGATCATGAACAAGTTCAACTCCAATAGAAACCCTTCTTCTCTCTCCTCCAGAGATTCCAGATCTTGATCCTTGACCGATCCTTGAATCCACAACATGTTCTAGACCGAGCTCTTGAATCAGCCTCTTCACCTTCGTGACCGCATCTTTCCTCTTCGTCTTCAGCCTAAGGAGCGCGCTGTACGTCAGTGTTTCTTGCACCGTAAGAAACGGAAACAGAGCATCTTCTTGTGGCACAAACCCTGAAACCCTCCTGTACTCAGGACCATCCATAGGCCTACCATTGACAAGCACTTGCCCTGAAACTTTCCCATGAGACACTTTTCCGGCGAGAATCTCCAGCAAAGTGGTTTTCCCTGCCCCACTCGGACCCGCAATCGCAGTGATCTCCGTGGATCTTGCATCACAAGAAACATCCTTTAAGATAACCTTTTCTTCCTTCTCACTCAACAACCCACATAAATTAGAAAATTTTGGAGCGTTTCCGCCTAATCTATATGACAGATTCTTGGTTTCTAATCTATATGAGAATTTCCGGCCACCGGGAATAGGAGCTTTCACCGGTAATTCCATCTAAGAAAGAAAGAAGGAAAAAGAGAGCATCAAACTTTGAGAGATAGAGAAATCAACAAATTGAGCAAAGAGTGTGAGATTAAGTGAAGAATAAATGGTAGAGAAGATGAACTAACACACCAAACTTTAAGGAACCTCTCAGTTTATTATTCAAACATCCAAAAGCTTCAAGACTTTAATAGCTTTCTCTCATTGCCTTCCATGAAAAACGAAATGCATTTGACTATGACTAAAAAAATCAAAGATATTTATAACTCCAAGCTTAAAATGCTTAGTTAAGTTTTCTTAATAAATTATTTGTTCGTAAAATAAACTTGGATACAGTTAGATAAATTTATATGAAGGTGTTTTTCTTGTATTTTAAATTTCTAATGAAAATGGTTGACCAAAACAAAAAAATATTCAAAGAAATTAAGATATTTGTTTCTTTCTTTTTGGGTTATTGGAATTGTGAAGGTGTACAAGAAAAAAGCAAACAAAAAAAAATTAGTTAGAAAGAGATTGGTTTCTTCTGGAGATTCTCAAATTCGGGTGAGCTGAAAAATTGACTGTGAAATGTTTGCCTGCCTTGTTGGTGAACTTGTTTTATCTAACAAAGAGAGGAAACCCAGTTTGGTGGTTATATATTATTACCTACAAAATTAATTACGTGTTTCAAACTTATGTCCCATAAGCCATTTAGAGGTTTCGCGTACGGGAATTCGGATGTTTAATAAGGAGTAATCTCCTAAGAAACCTCGCTAATTTGATTATTTTAGGATAATATTTTTGCTTGTTAATTAAACACATTAGATAGAAGAAATTAGCTAATCCAACTGGTTTGAATTTCTTAACTTCATCTTGAATCTTTGAACATACACCTATATAAACCAAATCAAGACCCATGAGCCTAGCCAAGCCTTATTTAGCAAAAACCAATTAACAAACAGAATTATGAAGATTTCCTGACGAAATGGGTTTCTCGTTCAATTTTAAATAACAATGGGACGATTTTGAAAATATTATATAACAGTAAGGGTATTACTACAATTTTCTGTTTTACATAAAGTATCCTTTAATTAATGATCGTCTCTACAAAAACCCATTTTTGTTAGGGTTTTTCCATTTACACTAAAACCTCTCCATTTGTATCATCTTCCAATGGCGATTTCTCGTTCCATCCTACGCCGGCCGGCGAAATCCTTTTCCTCACTGTTCACTCGTTCCTTCTCCTCTTCATCTCCTCTCGCCAATTCCCCAGCGGTTTCTCGATCCGCGTCCTCGTTGCTGAACCGTTCTCGTTCTCTCGTTGCTGGATTCTCAGCGTTGGTCCGTGCCGGTGTATCTTCGGCTAGGTGTATGTCTACGCAGGCTACTTCGTCTTCACTGAATGATCCGAACCCTAATTGGTCGAATAAGCCACCAAAGGAGACGATTTTGCTCGATGGTTGTGATTTTGAGCATTGGCTTGTTGTCATGGAGAAACCTGAAGGAGATCTCACTAGAGACGAGATTATTGATTACTACATCAAAACCCTAGCTCAAGTTGTTGGCAGGTATATATATATATAGATCCATTTCCACAGTGTTCTTTGATCTGTTTCTAGAGTCTTACTGTGTTTAAATGTGTATCTTATTTGTGTGTTTTAGTGAAGAGGAGGCAAGAATGAAGATTTACTCTGTGTCACACAAATGCTACTTTGCTTTTGGAGCTCTTGTTTCAGAAGATCTTTCATATAAGATCAAAGGTAAAGCTTGTTGATTCTTTTGCTTGCTTGAGTTTATTATAAGCATTGATTTCTTATAATTTTGTATGTGAAAATCCAGAGTTGCCTAAGGTGAGATGGGTTCTTCCTGATTCCTACTTGGATGTGAAAAGCAAAAACTATGGAGGTATGTTGTTTAACTCTGATGATTGTTCATTGTAGTCACAATATTCGTTGTTAGGGACATTAAGATTTGATCTTGTCAGAGAGTAGTAATAAGTTTTTGATGGGGTTTCTGAAATTTGATCGTTTCAGGAGAACCTTTCATTGATGGAAAGGCTGTTCCTTATGACCCAAAGTATCATGAAGAGTGGATAAAAAACAATGATAGCAGCAACTCACGCACTCGCAGGCCTCGCACCTTGTCTGGAACCAGGAAGTTTGAGAGGAGAAGAGAGAACGTTAGGGGAAACCAAGACACGGGTGACAGAGGTCCACCACCAAACCAGGGTTTGGGAGGTGCACCACCTCCACCGCCTCACATAGGCAACAACCCAAACATGCCGCCTCATATGCCACCACCTACCATGAACCAGAACTACAGAGGTCCTCCACCACCAAACATGGGTCAGAACTATCAGGGACCACCACCACCGAACATGAACCAGAACTATCAGGGACCTCCACCACCAAACATGGGTCAGAATTACCAGGGACCACTACCACCAAACATGAACCAGCAGAACTACCAGGAACCTCCACCACCAAACATGAACCAGAGCTATCAGGGACCTCCACCGTCTAACATGGGCCAGAACTACAGAGGACCTTCACCGCCGCCACCAAACATGAGTCAGAATTACCAGGGACCACCACCACCGAACATGAACGGAGGATGGTCTGGAAACTACCAGCAGAATGGTGGATACCAACAAGGTCAGGGTGGTGGAATGCAGCAACAGCCTTACCCACCCAATAGGGTCCAGTAGTTGAACCGTCTTGGGTTTTCATGTATAGGAGCCTTTCAATATGGAGCTGATACTATCGTGGTCAGTGTTTTCAGTTTGTCACTCTGCTTTGTGAGAGAGAGATTGAGAGTTAGTCTAATAAGTTCTGCATGAGTTAATGTAGCAGTACTCAATCTATTTAATAATAATTGGTTTATTTATTATATCCTCAAGTCAATCTTGTTTATTTCAGTATTTAGTGGCACAAGAAGTAAAGAGACAGCTCTATAAACTTGGAGTTGAAAAAGAGTTAATCAAAATCCATTGATCTCATGGCAAAAAGACCAAATCTCGATAATACATCATTTCCTCGTTGATTCTTGGCAGCTTGGATCTGATCAGCAAGTGAGATATCTCCTCTTGTTCTCTCTTTCCTTATCAGTTCCAAATCCAGTTTCTCCAGTTTAGCTGCAACTGAAACTACTCTATCCTTTCCAATAGCGATTTTGCCAAGACTTGTTTTCTTCTTGTGAATCTGACAAGACATTTATTCAAACCAAAGAATCATCAAGTGGGTGGTTTCTAATTTTCTCAGAGACATCAAAGGAGTAGTTTTCTTTTACCTTTGTTAGTCTCTTCTTCAGTTTAGAGCGTGAAACAATGGTTAGATTCTCCCTTTTCTGCTTTGGCTTTCGAATCTTTCCTTCTCGTCGGTCTTTCTCTTCACGTTCTTTCTTTCTTTCTGCAACCTTCCTCATCTTCTCGGTCCTGGCTTGTGCAGCTTTTTTTGCTATCATCTTGGTTTGTTCCTTTGCTCTTGCTTTCTCTTCAGCTAACTGAAGCTGCTCAGATGAAAAATCTTGTTTTATTCTTTCATAGCTGTCCCACTCGAGTTCTACTTCGCCACTTCCTCCTTTCCTAGCAGCTTCTGCAATGTTTTCCGACCACGATGACGTGAACTTCTCCTTTAATCGCTTTGATCTTGACCGTTCAGCCCAAACTTGTTTCACTGAAGCTCGTATCTTCTCCTTGGTTTCATCACTGCAAGAGACACACTTAGCTTTTATATGCTTCTAGCTTCATTGTGGTGTATCTATTCTACACTTAATAGTTCACAAATCTACCTGTGTGGTTGTTGATGATCAGACATCTTCTTCCGAACCTGAAAGATATTGAAGAGAAGAAGTTTTAAACTTATATCACCTAAGCACAAAGCAATCCGAGACAATTTTTCTTCCTTAACTTCATATGGTTCTTGTCACTGTAAACAACAGAAGATGTACAAGAACAAAATGTCCCTGAATTGCATTGAATCTTACTTGACTTCACCTTGGGATTTCTCAAAGCTTCGATTGTTCTCTGCTTGATTCGTCTTCGAGTGTCTGTTAAAGAGTATCAACAATCTCACTACACAAATCCTCAAAGAAGAAACACTTTAGATAATCGAAAAAATCCCAGTCTCTCTCTCTACCTTCATTGTGTTTCCTTCCTTTGTTCCATGGCACCTTCCCTTTATTAGCTAATCCAATCTTCCTTCTCCTTTCCTCTTCTTTGATCTTCCTATCACTATCACTATCAGCTTCAGTCTCTTTGTCCATAGCCTTCACTTCCAAAAGACTTGGATTTACTTCTTTGTTATGAGTCTCAAACACATTGCACAATGAACCTACAGATTTCAACTCCAATTGTCTGATACAACTCAAAGAAGCAAGTGAATTAGATACTCTCAAAATGACGGGTTCTTTGAGATTCCAATAAATCGCGCATCGGATTGGAGCCCGAATTGATTGAAATGGGTATTTCATCTCCATCGATAAACCTCTGCAAAAAAAAGAGTATTTGACCAAATCGAAATCAAAATAGGTCAAAGAAAATCAAAGAACCACTATATAAACGATAAATCAATGAATTTCTACATAAAGCCATAAAGTCACAAACAAACTAACCAATATTTCACGAAATCAGAAGTACATTTTTATATTATCCTCGATTTCCCAGATAATTTCAATTCACAAGAGATAGAGCTTGTTGAGATTGCAGAAGCACTCACAAATGTAGTGACATACCGGCACGAAGACAAACAGGAGACAAAACAAAATTTCCGCTTAACTTTTGTGGTTTCTCAAACGCTAAGGTACTTTTCCGGCTAGAGCAGTAGAGCCATTGATGATGAAGAAGTGCGCTCTGAGACGCAGAGAGAGCGGGAGAAACAGATAAGGGAAGAAGATGAAGGCACCTTAATGGGCCATATGTTTCTTTATTAATACCTTAAATTACAGTTTTATTAGGCCTTGTAAAGCCCAATTAAGGCTATAAAAGAAACATATCGTCCCTCTTATTATTTAACTCGCCGATTTTTTCTCTCGATTTATTTTTTCTTCTTCTTCGTGTACCGCTCTCTCCGACTCGACTAGGGTTAAGTATTTTAGGCGAAACCTTCGACCATGGATATGTTGAAGAAGCGAAAGCTCGATGAGAATGGAATCGGGATGCTAAACGATGGAATCAACGGATCTGTTTCGTCTCGATTGATGCCACAAGACGCGAGAAAGATTATCGAGCGATTCTCTACTGATCAGCTTCTCGATATCTTGCAAGAAGCTGTTGTACGGCATACAGATGTTCTAGAAATCGTTAGATTGACCGCAGATTCCGATATCTCTCAGAGGAAGCTCTTCATCCGTGGACTCGCGGCGGAGACGACGACGGAAGGTCTTCGTTCGCTTTTCTCCAATTACGGAGATCTCGACGAAGCTATTGTGATTCTCGATAAGGTAACTGCTAAATCCAAAGGGTATGGTTTTGTGACTTTTAAGCATGTTGATGGAGCTTTGCTTGCTTTGAAAGAGCCGTCTAAGAAGATTGATGGCCGCGTGACGGTCACGCAGCTCGCGGCTGCTGGGAATCAAGGTACGACGAACTCACATGTTTCTGATATATCGATGAGGAAGATTTATGTGGCCAATGTGCCGTTTGATATGCCTGCGGATAGGTTATTGAATCAGTTTTTGGCTTATGGGGATATTGAGGAAGGTCCTTTAGGTTTTGATAAAATTACTGGTAAGTCAAGGGGATTTGCGTTGTTTGTTTATAAGACTGCAGAAGGTGCTCAGGCTGCACTTGCTGAACCTATGAAGGTGGTTGATGGAAAGAATCTGCAGTGTAAATTGGCTATTGATGGTAAGAAAGGAAAGCCACCAGGTCAAGACGGTGGCGCTGGGGTTGGACATGGTCACGGTCATGGTGATGGAATGGGTATGGTTCCTCCTCCTGGACCTTATGGTGCAGCTGGTGGTGGTCATGGTGGACCTGGTGGGTTGGGTAATTATGGTGGGTATTCAGGAGGACCAGCACCACATCACATGAATTCCACACCATCTTCAATGGGTGTTGGTACTGCTACTGGTGGCTATGGAAGTGTATATGGTAGTCATTACAGTGGATATGGTGCGGAATCTGCGGGTTATGGTGGTCTTGGTGCAGGATCAATGGGTGGTACTGGTGGTGGTTATGGTGGGCCTGGTACTGGGAGTCGTCCATATAGAATGCCACCAACTTCGATGTCTGGTGGTGGTTATCCAGAGAGTGGGCACTATGGACATTCATCAGCTTCAGCATATCCTGCACAGCATCAGCCTGTTGGTTCCTCTCCAGTGCCACGGGTTCCTCTTGGGGGAATGTACCCCAATGTTCCACCAAATTACTGAACGGTGAGATAGTCCTTCCTTATATTGAATTATTCTTTTTGTTTTTTCTTGCTAGTGTTGCAGCTTTTTGTGGTTGCACTGGTTCTTGCATTTTGACATATTCTTCACTTTTTGTTGCATAGATTTTTTGCCTGTTGCTGTGCCTAGTTTTGTTTGCTAGGAATTCTTTTGTTTTTTCGTACTTGTCTGCTTTGGGCTAGTTGCTTGCCTTCAGTGGTTACTTTTGGGCTAGATGCAATGCCTGATTATGTTGTTAGCATGTATTAATGTATTTACTTTGTTACTCACAGCAGATAACCAGAAAAGTCGCGCCTTTGAACCCTTTTCTGGTGAATAGCTGGGTAAACTAGTTATATTAGGCACTAGTACATTTGTTTCTCTTCATCTGCTTTGCCGCTCTTTTATAAATATCTTAAGCTGTTAGTCTGGTTGCAACCATCAGCATCATCATTAGCTTTTATTTCCTCTCATATTTACTTTTTAATTACTTTCAAAGTATGCTTGGTGCAACACATTGGCCACTGGCTCCATACATTGTTCGTGGTATTGTTGTTTTCTGCTTAAAGTATAATATATCTTTTGAGTGACTTTTTTGTTGATGCTAATGACCAAATTGAGTTGTGAATGGATGTTTGATTCAGGTTTGTGACATGGAGAAGATGCTTTTTATGCTTAATGGTGATTACCTGATTGCAGCCTCTTTAAAATCTATGGATTGATGAATGTATTGCTGCTTTGATCTCTCTCTCTCTGCACTTGATCTGATTGTGCCTTGGCCTATGAAATGCCTAGTTGTTCTATGACTGATTAGACTAGGAAATTATCTGTATTTTTTTCGTAGACATACGTGGCAGATTGGTTTTGTTCGTCAGAGTAGTGCGAGTTTTTAATAAAGTTGGTGTATTTTTCCTTACTTTGTCTATTGGTTTATTTTCCTTTTACTCTTGCGATTCTTTGCTACAAGCCTACAACGTAGTACCTTGTCTGTGATCTTTGTGGACATTTGTTTGGGTTCACCGACCTACAGAATCCTTTACTTGACATAAATGAAGTGGCACTAGAAGATTTGCTTTGTGGATCATTGTTGACTGGTTGATCCATAGGTTAAAGGTGCTGAACATGTGTTTTAGCAGCTTGATATACTGATTAAATTGTATTGCCTTTCATCTTTTCGAATTAGACTTGGGAAGCCCTATTGTCTATTGATGTCAGATACAGACATGATAAAAGTTTCTTGAAAGAGTGTATTGCTTGTTATCTGATGTTGCCATTGTTTGCTTCAGATGATAAACAAATCTATTTTGATTCTTTGTGAAAAGAGTTACTTTCTAGGTTCCTTTTAATATATTTTTACATCAAAGAGATTTTTGATTTTTGCTGAAAATGAATTTGTTTGGGTGTATCTCATGGCTATTGATATTTGACAGTTCTTGATCTGTTGGCCACATATTAACGAGGAATTGGTTTGAAATATTCTCTGGTCCTAGACGAAGACTTTGATATGATGTCGCTTCGTGTCCACAAACAGACTAGTCTTGTGTCATTTCTTAGGAATCATTTCTTCACACTAACTTATGACCACTTGGTCTTCTGTTTTACATTTCTTTTGGTCCTTTTATTGGGCGATTTGCTGGTGCGACCGAGGCGAGGAGGTGCGGCGGCTGTATGACTTTGGGCTCTGCAAGGACGGCGACAAGAACAACTCTTTATAAACATGTAATCTAAAATGTATATCGCCGCTACACTCTGTACATTTCTAATCATGTTCACATACTAACAATAGAACCATCTTTATCACATAGAAATTAGGCCGACACAATAAGAACTTTTGGTCTTTAATTTTTTCCAATCGTTGTGGATTCTTTACCCTTTTTTTCCCCAGAAAATGTGAATATAATCTGCAATTTGGAGCTTCCTAACTAAATTACACCTCTTTTTCTCAAGTGTAACCTGAAGGAGTTTTATTTTCATGTATACAAGGATTAATTTTTGTATTACGATTTTGATTATCAATGAAATATGGGTTGAGGAGACCCAAAAAATCTGAATAAATTTGAAAACTTTATGTGTATAGATAGATATATTTTACCTAAAATCAAAACAAACTAAACCACAACCTTAAAATAAAATTACGAAAAAGACCTGAAAGCATTAAAGTGAAGAGGTGGAATATCTATCTATCTCATCGAGTGTCTCGCCCAGCTTCTTCACCACATACATAATAATAAAAACCATTTCCTTCTTAGACTGCTTCGGATTCGTTTAGCTCACTCTTTCCTCTCGAGAAGAAACCCTAGAAATCTCATCGCAAATATGTTCAGATCTATGCTCGTCCGATCTTCTTCCTCCGCGAAGCAGGCGGTTATCCGCCGTAGCTTCTCCTCCGGCTCCGTCCCAGAGCGAAAAGTCGCCATCCTTGGCGCCGCCGGTGGAATTGGTCAGCCTCTTGCTCTCCTCATGAAGCTTAATCCTCTTGTCTCTTCTCTCTCCCTCTACGATATCGCTAACACTCCTGGAGTTGCCGCTGATGTCGGTCACATCAACACCAGATCTGAGGTACTATTTACTAACAAATTCCCTCGTTCTGATTCTGAATAGAGATTTTTCATCTTGGCTTATTAGAATCTTTACTTGTTCACTAAACTGATTCATGTGAGATTCACTTGTGTTTGATAGGTTGTTGGATACATGGGCGATGATAACTTGGCCAAAGCTCTTGAAGGAGCTGATCTCGTTATCATTCCAGCTGGTGTACCAAGGAAGCCTGGTATGACCCGTGACGACCTTTTCAACATTAATGCTGGAATTGTCAAGAACCTTTGTACTGCCATCGCCAAGTACTGCCCACATGTAAGCCCACTATATTATGCATATCAAAGTTAATGTTTTTATTGGATATCACATGCCACATCTATACGAAGAGCTTGTTTTCGCATTGCTATCTCCAAGAATTGTTGGGTTTTAAGTTTCAGTTTTCTTATACATATCACATGCCTTGAGCTTGAATTTGCTCTCGCTTCTCCAAGTTGTTGGTTTTTAGGTGTAAAAGTGTCTCCTTTTGTTCTACTACTGAGTGGTATTCTATCAAATGACTGACCTTTGGAGTTACTCTTTTTTTGAATCAGGCACTTATTAACATGATCAGCAACCCTGTGAACTCTACTGTTCCAATCGCAGCTGAGATATTTAAGAAGGCTGGTATGTACGATGAAAAGAAATTGTTTGGTGTTACCACTCTTGACGTTGTCAGAGCCAAGACTTTCTATGCGGGAAAGGCCAATGTCCCAGTTGCAGGTTTGTGTATACATGTCTTTTCCTCTTTTGTTATCATAAGTGTTGCTTTGAAATGTGTTCATCTTATTACAGCTGTGATAAAAAAAAGATTGAATGTCGAAACTTAGGCTTAAATATGAATGCTTTTTGTGTCTGCAGAAGTTAATGTTCCGGTGATTGGTGGTCATGCTGGGGTTACTATTCTCCCTCTCTTCTCTCAGGTTACCTCTCACTTCCTCTCAACTTACACTGTGGTTGAATGTCTTATATCTTACAATGGGGTTTAGCTCTGTTTGACTTCAAAGTTACTCTGTTTGTAAAAATGTAGGCCACCCCTCAAGCCAATTTGTCAAGTGACGTACTCACCGCCCTCACTAAGCGTACCCAAGATGGAGGTACAGAAGTCGTGGAGGCAAAAGCAGGAAAAGGTTCAGCTACATTGTCCATGGCGTAAGTATCGTACTGGTCTTGACATAGTTTTTCTCACTTCTCACTTACTTGGTAAAGTTTTCTGGATCCTTCTTTTGATTCTTAACTTCTGAAAATCTGATAAATTTTCACAGCTATGCTGGAGCATTATTCGCTGATGCGTGCTTGAAAGGACTCAACGGTGTTCCAGATGTCATAGAATGCTCATACGTGCAATCAACAATCACCGAACTTCCTTTCTTTGCCTCGAAGGTAATCCTCAAAACTTAGCATCAAACACAGAATGTACTTCCTATGGTCTTGTGTCTCGGTTGATGAATATGAGAGTTTAATTATGGTTCAGGTGAGGTTGGGGAAGAACGGCGTGGAGGAGGTTCTTGACTTGGGGCCACTCTCAGACTTTGAGAAGGAAGGCTTGGAAGCATTGAAGCCAGAACTCAAATCCTCCATCGAAAAGGGAGTCAAATTTGCCAACCAGTGATTAAACCGAGTTGACTCGGTAATTTTTCCAATTTTCCAGCTAGAGTTGCCGCCTCCTCCTTAATCGGGTTGTATCAATAAAAATCCATGTTTGTGCCTCCATTAGTGAAACCATAAGGCTATTTGGTTAATCACCAAACACAAAGTAAAACTGTAACATGTCAAGTGATGATTCTTTCTTCCGTTTTGGAACCATGCGACTTTTTTTTTCCATGAACAAGAGATCATAAGTGTGGGTTGGTTCCTTCTTAATACTGAGTCTATGTTACCATACTTTCTGTCTTTCTGTTACATTTTTTTTTTCTATTTGGGTTTAGTTTAAATTTCATACAAAAGTAAAAGAGATTCTTACAGGACTCAGATTGAGAAACAAACGTTTTGGAGGAATTGCATAGGTAGGTAGTTTTTGTTTATTGGTGAGAAAACTTTAGTTTGTTTCAGTATTTTGGATGATAAAACAAACTGAAAACATAAATGGATTATCTTAAATGCATTCCATTTGATCGACTAAACAAGTTTAATTGATTTTTTTTTTTTTTTTTCATCAATATGAGATTTCCAAAATTTAACCACTCCAAACCGATTTACAGATTTTGGTTCCGACTACCGAGTGGCTTATTTGTAAATCCTCTTGGTAACATAAGTTTCATCTTTTTGGTCCCCTCTTTTCTTCTTTTGGTTATTGTGACTTTGATAACAATTATTTTTTTACAGTTACATAAAAGTAACAATTTTATATAATCTCTAGACAAAAAGGGTACCAGAAAACTGAATAAAAGCATCGTCCTTTCACTTTTAAATTTTTTTTAACATGGCACATGCATATTTATCATCCGTCAACATTCGTCTCTTTTCTTTTTTCACTAAAATTGCAAAACGGATTATCGAATCCACATTCGTCCTTTCTATATCCCTTTTCACGTAAACCATATGTCATATGCCTCAATATATGATTACTAACATATACTCCCTCCGTTTTCGAATAGTTGTCGTTTTAAAGCTTTTTTTTGTTTTAAATTAGTTATCGTTTTAAGGTAATAATGTAATTTATGCCAATAACTACACAAATTACCCTTATTTTATTGAACACAAATTATTTGTAAATAATTACTTGTCATTTTTATGAGGTTAATATAGTCATTGTATATCTTTTCTTAATTTGTCTAAATACAGTTAAAACGACAACTTTTCAAAAACAGAGTGAGTATTCTTTATTCTTCGGTGTACTTATGTATTAGATTTTATATAAGGAGTTTTAATAGACACATTAAATCTAGTAATTACCGTTAGTGTATTTAAAATGATGTCTTCATCTCTCACATGAAAGTTCAATCTTAGACAAATTAAGACCGGTCACGTTAGAGGAAGCACTGTTTATACCATTTAACTCTCGTCAACACATTTGATAACCAGTTTTATGTAAAATTATAAATAAACGAATAAAAAATAAAATAGTTTATTACAATTCCCCTGAAAATGACAAATACAAACTACTTAATAATTTTGAAGGGAATGGACGAATGAATTATATGACTTTTCACAATATTTGAATTTATTTTACAACGGAAAAAAACAAAATGAAACTAACAAATTGACAAAAAATGTTGACAAAAATAAATGAAAGGAATAAATATTGGACAAAATAACTTAATAAGAGAGAGAGATAAGTGGGAATGAATGACTGTGAGGGTGATGGGGAGTGTACTTACTGACACACATGCGATCGAAGAACACTAAAGCCTAGAGGGTATATTCGTAAATTATTCTATTAGACTGTGCACTTGGTAGAGTAGGTGCAATGGGAAACATTAATTTGAAATTGGATTCCATTGTTTAACATAACGCTACGTCATCTTTGTACGTGGTCGGTGTTGTGTATGTATAATGGAGAAGTGGTTATAAAGAGAATTTAAGTATATATACACATTTATCCTCATAAAGTAGAATTACATGTATTTGTATCATTTTCGCCTTCCAAAATGTGGGATTCGCGAATAGTGGAAAGGAGCATCGGCAATGCTTATTTATCATATGGATACTTGTGAAGCATTTACAGGGTGTAACCTCGAAAACCAATACAATTTGATTCGAGAAATAAAAAATATAATGTATTTTTTTTATAAACACCATCAATATTAGTTTATACTGCCCAATTATTAGTGTCTCCAACAGATCTAAAAGCTTTAATTTTTATTTAAAAATAAATCTTGTATTGTCTAATTTTTTCCAACCATCCAAAAAGACTATCTCAAAAGTTTCGTTTAAAATACTTTCTAACATAGAACAATCTTTGATTTGGTAATTTGCCAATTATTTAGCGTTTTTGCATCAAATTTGAGTTTTATTAGTGTTTCTAGTATCTACTACATCCTTAACCAAAAAAAAGAGATAGTGGTTCTACATCAGAACTAAATGTAAGAGGACTATGTATATGTGTTCATAATTTTACATAAACATACTTGAATTACATCCATTGTGATGTTGTAACTATATAGCTAATACAAACAGAAATGTCATGTAAACTATATATTTATTTCCTAGAGGAACTCACTATCTTTTTTTTTTTTTTCCTTTGGAACTCACTATCTTAACGGTTATTATTTATTTGGACTTATTTAACTATAGCTTGTTTCATCCTTGTATCATTATTTTCCTTGTAATTTTATCAATTTTCTGATTGGTTCTCTCTAGAGGAGAATTTTTTTTACTGACAATTTATTTATTTTTTATTTTTTTTTTTTTATTTTTTTTTTTTGTAAACCTTACTGACAATTTATTATAATGGAGTATTTGATATCAAATGAATTTGACAATAACAAATCTTATTTTTTTTATATAAAAAAACATAAAATAATCAATAGAAAGCTTTTAAAATGAAATAAAAGCAGAAAAAAGCACAAGTGATGATGATGAGATCAGAGAGCTCTTTTTATGACCAAAACACACTCCTCCTTTAACCATTTTCCCTCTCTTCTCAATCTCTTCCTTCTTTTTTTTTACCGTTACTGTAAATTTTCCCGAGAAAAAGAAAATTAAAAAGAGCTTTCGTGAATTCTCGTTTTGTCAATTCCACATCTCTCTATCTCTTCTCTCTCTTCTTGGTTCATCTGTTTTGTTCTGCTTCTTGAATTCTCAGAAACAGAGAGACAAATCTTTTTTAAAAAAGAAACAATCTTTAGACTAAAGAAGAGAAATTTCATACATGGGTTAGTCTCCAAATTCAATTACGTCTTCTTCTTCTTCTTCTTTGTTTGATTTGGTGACGAATTTAGGGTTTAGGTTTGGGAGGAGAGTAAAATGTTGAATTGAAAAAAACACAACGACTCTGGATTCCTCGGCGGTTAACGACCGCCGTCGCCGCCTTCTTCATAACCCAACCACCACAACCATCAACGACCTTGAATTTCCACAGTATGCTTCATCAATGGCACCAGATAACGACCATTTAGTAGATTCTCCGTCGCCGCCTCTTCTTGAGATGAGACACCACCAATCGGCGACGGAGAACGGTGGTGGTTGCGGCGAGATTGTGGAGGTTCAAGGAGGTCACATTGTTCGGTCAACAGGAAGAAAAGACAGACATAGTAAAGTCTGTACTGCGAAAGGACCACGTGACCGGCGCGTGAGACTCTCTGCTCCGACGGCGATTCAATTCTACGATGTTCAAGATAGACTTGGTTTTGATCGACCAAGTAAAGCTGTTGATTGGCTTATTACTAAAGCTAAATCCGCCATTGATGATCTTGCTCAGCTTCCTCCTTGGAACCCCGCCGATACTCTTCGTCAACACGCCGCCGCTGCTGCTAACGCTAAACCCAGAAAAACCAAAACTTTAATTTCTCCGCCGCCGCTGCCACAACCTCCGCCGCACGAAGAAACAGAGCATCATCATCAACAAATCGGAGAAGAAGCAGATAACGAATCGAGTTTTCTTCCGGCGTCAATGGATTCTGATTCGATAGCTGACACTATAAAGTCGTTTTTTCCGGTAGCTTCAACGCAACAGAACTATCATCATCAGCCACCGTCTCGAGCCAATACACAGAACCAAGATCTTCTTCGTCTCTCGCTTCAATCTTTCCAAAATGGTCCAGCTTTTCCCAACCAAACAGAGCCTGTTCTGTTCTCCGGCCAGAGCAATAATCCGTTAGCGTTTGACTCATCGACGGCAAGCTGGGAACAGAATCATCAGTCACCGGAATTTGGAAAGATACAGAGACTGGTGACATGGAACAACAGCGGAGCAGGTGATTCCACCGGTACCGGAGGAGTTGTGTTTGCTTCTCCGTCGTCGTTGCAGCCAGTTTATAGCCAAAGTCAGCTTTTATCTCAGAGGGGTCCCCTTCAGTCCATTAACACACCTATGATTCGTGCTTGGTTTGATCCTCACCATCATCATCATCATCAGTCCATTACCACTGACGATCTCCACCACCATCATCCTTACCATATTCCTCCGGGGATTCACCAATCAGCGATTCCAGGCATTGCATTTGCTTCAAGTGGTGAATTCTCCGGTTTTCGTATACCAGCACGGTTTCAGGGCGAACAAGAGGAGCATGGCGGCGACAACAAGCCGTCCTCTGCTTCATCCGATTCTCGCCATTGAACAAGTTCCAAAAACACATAAGAATGTGCAACACAACTGGTTTCTTTTCATATTTCAGGTTCGAAATGTTTCGAAAACACCCATTTGTGAAAGTCCTGTCTTTAACTATTCATCAAATTGATAACTTGCATTGTTGTTAACGTTTCAGGGCGCTTCGAATGCGTGGAATAGGGAAGACGTTTTTCGTTGTTGTGTGTTTCGGATATTCAAATGGCCTATAGATCCAAGGAAAGGAATAAGAGAAGGGAGAAACAGAATCTGATCAACAGTTTCAGGTTCATCTTAATCTTCTAAAGCCTAGGCCTTTGTTAATTTGAGTTCATCTTGTATCAATTAGAAAACTTTCTGTTAGTTCAATTATGTTTTCGTTGTTGTGTTGTAACTTGTTCTTGTTGTTGTTCTAAAATTAATTGTCGTTTCCTTATGCTCTTGTGTTGGAAACCTTTAACCCCACTTGAAGCTAAAGTTTCAAGCTTTGCTCTTTATTCTATGTGGGTTTAATGCTTTCCTTAAGAAATATCTCTTCTTTTTTGCCAATCCCAAAGAGGAACAGTGATACATCCATCTACATCAATCATCATATTGTTTGGTTTAGCGTTTTTTAGAAGTATTATCTTCCCAATCTCTTTGGTGATAAACTTTCTTTTGACTAGCAAATGGAATTTGAAACAATCATTTCTCTTGTGTTTCTTAGTCTCCTCTTTTGGCCCCATAGATGAAGAGTCATTGTCCATAGACTGAGTATGTATGTGTTGCTTCTTTTGGACTTTAGGATATAGAATGATGGTTTAGTTTTAAATTTGTTTAGTGGATGCTAGTTCTGAAACTAAGTATGAGTTTTGGCCCATGATCCACAGATAAATATAAATCAGAAAAATGGTTTTTGACTATCTTTTTTTTGGTGTGTAGCAAAAGAGAATTTGATGTCTAGTGTCAATAAATGTGTTCTTTAACACATACTTTAACAAGAGTGTAGGAGATCCACCAAACTTGAGTGTGATATAGTCTTTAATAAGTAAAAAGGTATAGGGCAGTAGATTAGTACATGAAGACACTATTGTTGATGAATAGTGTTGAGGTGTGCAATTTTGATCCATAATTTGTCGATTGATTAAGATTCGTTCGATTTTTCGCTATAATATCTTTCGGAAAGAAAACTTTGGTTCCTTATGGAGAAGCTCTAAAGAAGCAACACTTTACATGAGAAGTGATAAGATGAGATTGGAAGTAGTGGCTAGACATCCTAAAGAAGAAGATAGAAAGCCGGAATCTTTATAAAATGTTTTGATCACTGAAAATCAAATCATATCAAGTCAAAATTTTTAAAATATCCTTTTTTACTTCTTCTTTTGCATCATTTTCGCCTTCTTGTTCCAATGTATATGATTGATATACATGCACTCTTAAAACCTCTAACATTTTGGGGCATGACAGAAGAAAAAGGGAATGTTGAAGAAGACATGAACTCAATAATAATAAAAAGGATAGCAAAGTGTAAGAAAAGGATGGAACCAAAAATGGGAAAAAAGGTTGTCACCTTTAGAGAATGGTCCCCTCTCTCTTTCTTTCTATCTCTTGTCAGATCTCAAGGTTAAATACAGCTGTTACTTTTCTTTGATTTTTCTTCATTCCATTCCATAACCAGTGATAAAATTTTCGAAAATTGAGAGTTTTAAAAGAAGAAAAGAGTTGCAAAATGGCTCAAAACTTGATTGTGTGCATGTTCTTTAAACCCAATCTTCAAGACATGGGCGGAGGGAGAGAAGATTCATAGGGGTCAATTGACCCCGGTGAAATTTTTAAAAATAGTTGAATTTTTATATAAAAAAAATTATTGACCCCAATCCAATAAAAATATTGACCCCTATAAAAAAAATTATGTTACAAACCCAATAATTACACTGTACTTATAGATAATATTAGCCTAATAAAATTTATTTTAAGTAAATCTACTACAATTAAACCTATTAATATAAAGTAATATAATATTTTAACATTTATTTTGACCTGATCTAAAAACGTTTTACCTTCTTCTTCTTTCTTTTTTGTGTTTTTAATCAATCTTTGATTGTGTGATGGTGGAAATAAGAAAACATCTTTCACATCTTTTAGTATATCGACTTATGAAGCTACCTTTTATGCATCTTTTAGAAAGAAAAATATATTTTGACCCCGATGAATAGATTTTCTGGCTCCGCCACTGTTTCAAGATTTGTTAAAAGTTGAAGACCGAACCAAAAAATAAAGAAAAAGAGATTGGAGCTGGTCTTTCAAAAGCTTCTCCAATCATATTCAGTTTTTGGGTCAAAAATGTTTCCAAATAATCGAAAATAATAAAGATACCAGTTTTGGTCCCGGCGGGGCTCGAACCCGCGACCTTCGGCTCATAAGACCAACGCTCTAACCAACTGAGCTACGGGACCCTGACAATTACGTTCTACGTTACCCCAAAATGAATCAAATTGTTCATCGTGGTTTTCCAATTGATAAATACTTGCCAAGTCGCTCTATTGAATCGAAGGAGTCACAAAGGGAAGAAATTTCAGACTCATACAGCTGCAGCAATAGCTCATCATAACTTGGTTCCATCTTTTTTTTTTTTTTTTTTCCGAAATATTAATAAATTTCAATCTCTAAATATGATGATTACAAATTTACAAAAAACTTTTTTGTTTCAATACAAGATCATTCATAAGTAAAACTGTAAAATAGCAAGCAAAAATCAAGATGTAATATTAGCTTAATAATAAGACTGTGTTTTCAATACATAATCACTGACAAATCTCAGAATTTTAACTTTTGTAAGTTTTTACACTCTGGAATCCATAAACATATATAGAGAAGAAACGAAACACGCGAGAAGAAACTCACTCATGTGGACAAACTCTTTGAACAGAGTGTGATCTCTACGACCAGCCAAACCAGTAATCAAGAATATAGACCAGACCCAAGGAGAATGGGTAAAGCAAGTAAGCTATGAAACATGTCCAAAGAGGATAAGTTGTGCGGAAACTCGCGAAACCACCCATCACCAGACAAACGATGAGAATCACTAACACTTCTGATGAGAAGTTCCATGTTAGTCCTCGAAGGTAGACGATCGCTAAGAACACCGAGAGACATAGAATGTTGTTCATTGTCACTCCACCACATATCTGAAAACAGACAAACACCACGAAACGGGTTTTAGTTTATGAAGTATAAGGAGGTATAGAAAGAGATATAAGAATTGTGGTTATGGACCTCAGAGAAAGTTAAAGAGGCGGTTCTGATCTTTTTGCGGGAAGCGAAGATGATGGCAGAGACAGCTTCACTTGAATTGGTGGCCAAAGGCAAAGCTATGAAGGAAATGAAGAAAGACGGGATCCCTGTGGCTGCGGAGAAGTTGTTAACAGTGTCGACTAAAGGATCAGCAAATGCAGCTGCAATGGCAGCTCCTAACAGTAGCAGCAGAGCTGCTTTAATGGTGACCCATTTTGGGTCTGCAACCTCACCGCCTTCGCCTTCCTCATCATTCTCACCATTCTCGTTATCTCCCAACAGAGCATGCTCTCTCTTTGTTTGCTGCAAAACAAAAAAACGAGATAAAAGTAATTGCGTTAGATTCCAGATAAGTTTTGTGACCCAAGTCTGTTCAAATAAGGTTTCAACAGTCTTTCTTACCACATGGAAATTGTCAAGGAATTTCATTGTTCGAGGACCGGCATCAGGACCAGATGGAGCACCTCCCATTGCCTGGATAAGCCAATGCTTAATTCCACGGACAAACTCTTCTTCATCAACTTGCTCATCAAGAGTCTTATCAAAATCTTGGAGAAGTTTTCCCACAGCATCATCCTTGTCAAAATCTATCTCCTCAAAGCTGATCCCAATGATAAGCGCCTTTAGTTCAGCCGCTGATAAGTGTCCGTCCTTGTTTGCATCAATTGTCTCAAACAACCTAATAAACAGATAAACTTGAGCACAAGACGAAACCAAGTAAAGTGCCTACAAAAATGTGCGTTCTCCATGTAAGGAATATATGACTTACCTTCGAATGACATGTTCATCAGGCTGACCTTCATCATCAAGAAGCCTTCCCAGAGCATGTTGTTTCAAGTGCTTTAGTATTCCTGATATAACATGCTTGTGTTTTGCAAAAGCAAGCCGTCTCCTTTGGATCCACGGTTGGAAGACCTAGAAATCATCATACAAGGAAGAATAATCTCACAAACAAGATGGAGAAAGCAAACAAAAGGACATCAGTCTAACGGATACTATTCTGTAACTTCTTTCCTGAGAATTTTATGTTACCTGATATACACAGTAAGAGATCAACATAAGAACTGAAAGGATTAGAGCAACCAACACGGACAATTGTCTTCCAGATGTAGAGCCCAACATCTGCGGAAGCTGGACAATGACGAACGGAATAACTGATATAGCCATTATTCTTGCAGCATAGCTGGTCCAAATATCAACAGTTACACCAGAATCTACAAAAACAGAGTCAACAACAAGAGTAAGGAACCCGCATATAGTAAAGTACAAATACTGAAATTCTATTGTGTTCATCAGTTATAAAAACCCATACAAAGGAAGAATCCAGAAGGTATAAGAGACTTCCTTATTACCTTTAAGATGGAAGCCTTTAGTGTCTTGGTTGTTAACAGCAATAGAATCTCGAAGGTCACACTTGCCAACCACAGTGCAAGTTCCCCAGATAACAGTGAGAAGCATAACAGTGGAGCCAGCAAGCAAACCCATTCCCACAGAAACTTGGCTTTGAGCAGTTGCTGCGTCTCCAGAAAGTCCAGACACTGAAAGCCAACAAAAGACATTGTTTATAACCAAAGAAACACCACCAACACATAGTAAATAAGCCCATCAAGACAAAAAGATAAGATTTTGACTAATAAGCACAAGGTGACAAGTTATGAGTTCATCGGTTAACATCAGTCAGTGTATCATCATTTGATTCACAGAACCAATCAAATATTCACTTTTTTCTCTCTCTCTCTTTCAAAATTCAAACGAATCGCATAACTCTTTCGAATCTTCTTCATCAAAGCAAAACAAAATTCGTCTTTTTTTCACCAAAATGAATTTCAAAATCGCATTTTTCTCCATATGAAACATCGAATCGAATCAAACGAATTCTGGGTGATCTAAATTCGAAAAGAATAAACATTTTGACATACCCATAATAAGCATAGCGTCAGGAAGAGCACCGAGCATAGGAAGAAACAAACCACCGACAATACCAGGGCCAAGGATCTCAAGAAGAAGCTCACTTCCGGCAGAGAGATACGTCGCAGCCGTGAACATGAGAAATCCATAAACCAAAATCAGAAACACGTTTCCAAGAGCGGTCTTGGTACACGGCATAAACCCATACGTCTGTTCACAAGCTTCCTCCTTTTCCTCAGCCGGAGCCGAAACAACCGTCTTGATAACCGATCCGGAGCCACCGTCGAGATTTGAACCACCGTCGATTCCATCGGAGATAAGACTCGTCGAAGATGGATGGAGGGAGACGAATCGAGCGTAAGCAGATGAAGTGAAGAAGAGAAGGAAGAGGAGAGAGATGAGAGATCTGAATCTCATGATTGATTTCGAAAGAAGAAAACAACAAAAAAGATAAAATCAAAGGAGGACGTTCATGGCAGTAGTGAGTTTTGTGGATGAGTATGTATATATATATACACACATATACGTGTTTATATACAGATAAACGTGTGTGTGTGTGTGTAAATCGTGTGGGGCAGTTTTTTTGGAGAAGAGCTAATAAGGAAGATGAAGAAAGCAGTGTCTAATTACCATTTTAACCCCCTGTTAACTTGGTATTATTATTTTACGTATTAAAATACCAAATCGTTTGATTTTCTTCTGTAGAGAGAGAATTTATCAATTTAGGAAATACAAATGTAAGAAAAAGGGAATATAAATTTGTTAGTGTAAGTTAATTCATAATAATATAAATTTGTCCACCAAAGAAATAAAGATGCCAAAGTGGTTGTATAGTGTAAAAGATGACAATGTCTTGGCCTCTTGGGTACTATACGATTAGTACTTCCCTACATTAATGGTTTTCCTCAAATTCAACAATGGATTTGTTCAGCATTTATTTATTTTATTTTTAGCATTTTGATGTAAAAAATACTATGCATTTTGATATAAAAAATACTAAAATTTCAATTCAAATACAGATAAGGTTGTCATCAATTCATACGGATTTTTAGTGGGGTAGATATGTCTACAAATTTGAAAATTTAGGTCATTTATGCAAGGGCGTTTAAATATATATACTCTCTCTATTTCATAAAAAGTGTCAATTTTGACACATTATACACATATTAATAAATAAGTTAAATATACAAACATACATTTATTTAATATACCCCTAATAATTTAAATACAAAAAAAATAGTTTTGGATAATGGACATATCTAGAAATTAGTTACAAAAGTTGTATTGAAAATGTAAAACGACATTTTTTTAGAAAGAAAAAAAAACTCCAAAACGACGTTTTTTGTGAAACGGAGGGAGTATTATCTTATTATATAAAGTATGGTTTTCAAAGTTAATAACTCACGAGATCTTGACACGTGTCAAATATTTCGATCTCAGATTTCGCCATGTGTCAAATAAATTTTCTTTTTTAATAAAAAAAGTAAAAAAATAATTATAAGAAAATTATAAATGTAAATTATAAATTATAAAGTAACTAAGGGCCTGACTGGTTTAAACGCAGAGGTTGCGGTTACGGTTGCGGGAGTTTGCGGAAGCGGGCGGTTGCGGTTTCAAGCGTTACCAAGCGTTTTGAACGACTGGTTTAGCGTTTGAAAATGGATGTGTTTGCGGAAGTTTTATGACTGGTAAACCAGCAGGTGCGGTAGCAGTTAAATTAAAAAATGACAAAAAAAGTAAAAAATATTACAAAAAAAAAAAACACCAATATAATTATGATAATATTAGAAAAATTGAACATGCTTAATAATTAAAACCATAAATAAAGTACTATATAATTATTTAAAAATAAAGAAATTTTGTAATAAGATAGTACTTTATGCTGGGTTAACACCAAAAATTGCATCAAGTAATGGGACAAACTGTAAATAACGTTGAATTCAATCAAAAAACAAGTGATTTTCTATTTGAAAAAACAAATCGAAACATATATTCAATCAAAAAGCAAAACAATACATAATGAAAAGAAAAAAAGATGCCATGAAAAATATTCAAAGAGTTACACATGAGGTGATGAATGAATAAAAGGATATATGATACTTACGTTTGATTCTTGATTTTCATCAGTTTGGGTGGAAGACCTTGAGAAAATAAGGTTTTAGAATATTGATTAGGGTTTCTGATGAGAACGTGATACAAAGATGAAAGATATATATATATATATATATAGGATTAATATATTTTATAATAATTATAAGTAAACGTTTGATTTTTTTTTTTTAAAATTCAACCGCTACCGCCCGCAACCGCAAACGCTTGCGGGAAGGAGCTTCTGAAATTCAGCGATTTCGAGCGGTTTGAAGCGGTACGGAACGGTTTCTATGATTGGTACCAACCGCTAACAACCGCAACCAACTGCTAACAACCGCTAGGAGGGTGCTAGCGGGAGAACCAATCAAACTCTAACACTTGACTCAAAAATAATTAAGGAAATAGCTATGAGTTAAAAAAGTATGGTTTTCAAAGTTAGTAACTCACGAGATCGTGACACGTGTCAAATATTTTGATCTCAGATTTTGCCATGTGTCAAATAAATTTTATTTTTTAATAAAAAAGTAAAAAGATAATTATAAGAAAATTATAATAAATTATAAAGTAACTAACATTTGACTCAAAAATAATTAAGAAAATAGCCATGAGTTAAAAAAGTATGGTTTTCAAAGTTAGTAACTCACGAGATCGTGACACGTGTCAAATATTTCGATCTCAGATTTTGCCATGTGTCAAATAAATTTTTCTTTTTAATAAAAAAGTAAAAAGATAATTATAAGAAAATTATAAATGTAAATTATAAATTATAAAGTAAAAAACACTCATAAATAATTAAGAAAATAGCCATGAGTTAAAAAAAGTATGGTTTTCAAAGTTAGTAATTCACGAAATCGTGACATGTGTCAAATATTTCGATCACAGATTTTACCATGTGTCAAATAAATTTTCCTTTTTAATAAAAAAATAAAAAGATAATTATAAGAAAATTATAAATGTAAATTATAAATTATAAAATAACTAACATTTGACTCAAAAATAATTAAGAAAATAGCCATGAGTTAAAAAAGTTCCGGAAACTAACGTTTTCAGATATGTGAAAATTCAAAATGGCTATCAAGCAAAAGACAAACATACAACTTCGTATTCTAATTTGGTGAAAAAACATGAAATAAATACTAATAATAAGAAAAAAAACTGAGAAAAAAAATCAATATTAGAATTCTGACGACGAAATAGAGGTATCCAACAATGTCATTTAGTAAAATAGCTTGTCATACTGAAAGAAATAGGAGTAGCATGTGATTTTTATGGAGGTGATGATGGTGGTGGTGGATGGTTCCGGAGGTGGTGATTGGGTGATTTAAAAAAATAATATGATCATGTAAAAATTACATGCATTTATCATTTGTTGTAAATATATTATGTCAATTATAAAAACAAACACTGTGAATAGCAATGATTTTCTAAAAATTGTATGTGATATTCAGACCCAAAGAATATATGACAATGGAGGCAAATTAAGAATTATGAACGGCGATGAGCATAAACTAGAGTTTTTGTCAGAAAGGCTTGCCCTGATGTTGGAGAAGATGATGAAAGTGGAGTAATAAGAGAATTTGGAGAAAGAGGAGAAGAAGTGATAACAGTGGTGTTGGTGTTGATGACGGTGGTTCAAGTTTGGTGGTGGTGGTGACGATAAATGTTGATGAAGGTGGAGGTTAAAGTTAAAAAACTGGTACACCAAAACAAAAGACTGTTGAGTCAAAACAAAAATTCAGGTTAATCGAATCATTTATTTTATCGGAATTAGCGAGATTCAGTATTGATGGTGGTGGTGATTGTGATAGTAGTGAGATTCATTTGTGGTGGTGAGTCAGAGTAGTGAGCCTTGGTGGTGATGTCTGAAGAAGGAAAGAAATAGAGATAGGGGAAAAGGAGGGCGAGAAGGAGAAAGAAAGAGGAGTTCAAACAAAAATAAGGAAAATCTAATGAGAGAAATAGAGAGATTTGAGAATTTCTCGCCGGCGAACGGAAGGAATAAAAAAGAAAACGAAGAAATGGGTAATATGAGCCAAAAATTGACTATGCCACGTAAGTACGTAACTATATAAATTCAACATTTTTATTGTTACCGTTTTTTTCAATCTTGCCCATATTGAAATTATAAAATGTAATACACTTTTCCGATAGATGTAAATAAATTATTAAAATTTAGTAATATAACGTATAAATATTTATGACTTTATAACTTATAATAAGCAGAAAATTATATAATTTTATAAATAGGCCAATATTTATATTAGATGATTTAATAATTAGTATAACATAACTACAAATAGTGTTTTATATTGTGCAATATGCATTATAAATCTATATTGAAAATATAATTAAAATGGTGCATTATTTAAGATATATATGTTTATATAATTTTAGTTATCCTTATAAAAATAAAATTAAAAGTTAAGAATGATAATTTTGACCGGTAACCCGTGCAACGCACGGGTCCTTATCTAGTATAGTATACAATAAAGATTATGTTTGTTCAAATTTGTTTCAATATTTATAGTAAAAAAAGTTCAACTTAAAAACTTTTGGGGTCAATTTCAACATTATTAATGTAGGCGGGAGCTGAAAAATAAAATAAAAGTAGGTAAGGGCGATTCGGGAACTGTTCGTTAGTCATTAATATTAACGAATTTGATTACGCGGCCACACGTGTATATTAGTAAGCTGATCTCAAATGGCAAAAAAATCGAATATTAGTCACTTTTGCCGACATTATACTAGTATTATAGATACCATAAAAATTATTTTTTTCCTAAATTCTGTATTTATAGAAAAAAAATCAAACGAAATGTTGACCAAAAGAGCGGAGAAGACGCGACGCTGAGCTGCGTTTGAGACTGCGGGTGCTAGCGGGAGAACCAATCAACCGACCGTGGTTGCTAGCGATCGGTTGCGGTTGTTAGCGGTTGGTACCAATCATAGAAAGCGCTCCATACCGCTTCGAACCGCTCCAAATCGCTGGATTTCAAAAGTTCCTTCCAGCAAGCGTTTGTGGTTGTGGGCGGTAGCGGTTGGATTAAAAAAAAAAACCGTTAACTTATAATTATTATAATATATATTAATCCTATACTTATAATCTTGTATTAAAATTTCTTTATTTTTGGATAATTATTTAGTACTTTATTTATGGTTTTAATTATTAAGCATGTTCAATTTTTCTAATATTATCATAATAATATATTGGTGTTTTTATTTCTTTTTTTAGTAATATTTCTTATTTATTTTGGTCATTTTTTTTGTTTAACTGTTATCGCATCCGCTGGTTTATCAGTCATAAAACTCCCGCAAACGCATCCATTTTCAAACGCTAAACCAGTCGTTCAAAACACTTGGTAACACTTGAAGCCGCAACCGTCCGCTTCCGCAAACTTCCGCAACCGCAACCGCTGCGTTTAAACCAGTCAGGCCCTGAGTAATAATAATGTGTGAGAATCCAAAACGTCGTGTAGTTTT